CCAGTGTTGGCACAGACCCACCCCTGGCCCCACCAAGCTGGAACCAGAGGTGGAATCAGGCGGACCGTGGGCTGCACTCCGAGCGGTGTTCCTGGCCGTCTTTGCTACCTTCCTCGAGATCCCGGCTGTGGCCTTAAATGTGTGAGAGGGACTTGGCCAAGGCAAAAGCTGGGGAGACACCAGTTACAGCATTCAGTTAATGACCAGATTTAGGAATCGAGCGCTGAGAAAATTCTCCGTATTCCAGAGAGGCCGTCCCTTATTCAGGACTCCTAACTCCATATCTTTGCTGGTTTGTTTTAAGGGAAAGGTTCTGCTTCCTGGGTGTGAGCAGAGGCTCCCGTCTTGCCTGTGGTTTGACTCTCCTTAGAACCACCACCCACCAGAAACACAAAGCATTAAAATCACACTCATAACCTCTGGGTGATATATCTGATGTTATGATCAGATTTACATCTACCCTAGTTCTTAACATTACCCCTTTATCTCCATTTGCAGATTTTTCCTGGTCTCCGAGTAACATGTTTCTATCCTGATCCTTTTCATTTCCTTAAGTTTTGATCTCCATCTTCATGATGGAGCAGCCAGAACCCGGAGGATCTTGGCATCACCCACCAAAGTTAGCTAAAAGCAGGGCACTCCTAGATGAAACAGCTTTACTGAACTCTGGGGAATGGTACCATTGATAGAAAGGAAGCACTTCTGAGCCAGTGACCGCTAAAAGGTACGTGCTATGATAAAGCGGATGGCCTATTCGAGGAAGAGCGTGTCCGAACCTCACAAACACCTCTCTCCTCCCTGCACTAGCCATCCCAAGCTTACATAAACAAGCCCTTCAGGAGAGTCTCCCACGCCGCAGGGAGGGTGCGTGGGGAGGTTCTTCCTGCCAGCACGTGCCCGGGAGTTTTGCATGAAGCCTGGGAACCAGCCCTGTTGTTCAGTGTTGTCATTCTTCTCCAGGCTGGCCAGCCCCCTCTGACTAGGCACCCAAAGTGAGCATCTGGGCATTGGGCATTTGTGCCTATCTTCCCCTACCTTCTACATGCCATCTCAGTCCCAGCCGGCATCCCTGGGGCAGACGTGCTTTGGCTCAAGATGGCCTTCATTTACATTTAGTTTTTTTTTTTAAACGTTGAGGTTGCCCACGGGCCCCGGCGCCTGGCCCTGGCAGCACAGCTCTCTCGGGCCCAGCCCTGGGCAACCTCCTTGGCCAAGGCTACCTTTCACCCTGGGGTGGGCATCAGTCCTTTCTCTACCAGTCCAGGTCTTGCACTCAGCACACTCTGGGGAATAATTCCACTCCAGAGAGGGGGCTGCTTCAAGTTCTTTTCCAACTGACTGTGGCCCTTTCCGTTTTCCCCATTTTCTTATCTCTTTGACCAAAATTACTTTGACTTCTAAATGTTTCTGCCTTCCAGAATGCACCTGACATGTGAAATGGGGTATGATACTCCCAGGAAATAGTATAGGACATCACAAGGACCAAAAAGGCAATTCTTATTTAAATGTGTTCGGCCAGCTGCCACTGTTTTATGGCAGTGTTCAGAGCTTGATCACGTTATTTCTTCATTTTACTAAAAAGGAAGCCAATTGTCCAAGTCAGGAGAATGGTGTGATCAACTGTCACAGACACTTCATCCCCTCTCCCCGCCCCTTCCTAGAGTTGGCAAAGCTAACGCCCTGCAGAAGGACCCTGGCCTCTGGAGGGCCGGATCAGCAGCCGCTTGCCTCGAGGCTGACCCGGTGAATGTTGGAATTCATCCCTCGTGCCCATCCTGTTGTGTTTAAGTCACCAGATATTTTGTTCCCATGAGTTTAGTCCAGAGATAGACAGTAGAATGCAAATGCCTCCCTCCCCTAAACTGACTGGATGGCCGCCAAGGAGGCCCCAAACCCAGGCCCCATGCAAAGGCACATGGTTTCCTGTTCTCCTCTCTGCATCTGCCCTTTCCAGATAAGTCCAAAGACAACAACTTCTCCACTCGTGACAGTAAACTGTAAGCCTCGCTCCTTCCATTTCTGTCCATTAGAAACCAGCCTTTCAGCATCTCACCCATTAGCAGCCCCACTACCGAGTGCTAAGGTGCCTCAGTCAAACAGATCCTTGGATGGGGATCCTGCGGGTGGCTAGAGGTGGTGGTTTGTGTTTTCGTCTGCAGCTTGACCTCTCGTGGCTCCTAGGCGAGATGATTGGGGAGCGGGACTGAGGGGTCCCCGGCCCTGGCTGTGGGACCTTGTGCTGTGGGATGATTTGCTCATGACCCTGATTAACAGTTCCCAGCTGGAAGGGATACTTTCTGGACCCAGCCCTCTGTATGACATTTGTGATGCAGAATTATGCACTGACATGACCCTGGGTGACAGGAAAGCCTCTCCAGCCCCGCAGTATTGACGTGCAGTATTGCCCCACGGCTCTGCGGACCTTGGCTATTGCCACTGTCGCAGCTTCCTTTTTCTGTTTGCACTGTTGGTTTGTATGATGTGAGCTAATTCCACTGTGTATATAAATTGTATTTTTTTTAATTTGTAAAATGCTATTTTTATTTGAACCTTTGGAACTTGGGAGTTCTCATTGTAACCATAACATGTCAGAATAAAATGTCTTCTGTCTCCTTTAGCCTTTTGTCTCTATGCTGCTCTTTCTTTCAAGGGGTACTTGGTTTTTATTTCATTCCCCCTGTTTCTGATGTGTGAAAATTACACTAGGATGTGGTTTTATAGTCTCAGAGCTCTCCCTATGCGGCTGCCCAACAGGGCTCTTCATCCACAGGAGTCCATTTCTCTGTACCAAGCAGCGACCTTAATAAGAACGGATTTCATCCTGTGGGTCTTAGTAGAAGTCAGCAGTATCTGTTTCTCCCTGATGAGCACCCTTTCCCATCCTGTCCTCTAGAAACCATCTCCTCCTGCTAGCAACAGCATCCTGGAGCAGCAGATGGGGAATCCATTCTATTCTATTAGGAATTTTCCCCACAAGCAGATGCCCTGATGTCCAACCAGAAGAAGTGAAACTGGTGATGGGTCTGGAGAGGTAAAGACCTGTGGCCAGCTTCTGTCACTGCCATCTGCCATTGCATTTTGGTTGCTTGCTTTTGGTTTTGCAAGAAGCGGGGCCTCTGTCTCCGTCTGATCTGCTTCGAATCATCATTCCATCAGGGACAGAAACAGTTGCAGTCAATTCAGGCCCTGCATCTAGCCCCAAGTGTTCTGGAACTCCTGGGGGCCTGTGTATTTGTCATTTCTATTCGATGAGAACTCCCTGTGTTATGGAGACGCCTTGGGAATGGGCCCAGCTGCTACTTCCCCTGCTGGCAACTCATAACACCGATAATACCGTACCAGACCTCTGGAGCCAGGTTTGGGCCAGCGCTGTCTCCTGTCACTCTTAGCTTCATCCTTGTCATTCTCTGTCTGCCTCCCGGTTTCTGCCCTTCAGTGTGTAAAGCCCAGATAGGGAACATTTTGACTGGAAGTGGTTAGAAGAAGCTTTCCCCCCACCTCCACCCCCTCCCAGCAGTTCACTGGGACCCTCCCACTTTCCTCTGCAAGGAGCAAGTTGCCACTTCGTTTCCTCTTTTCCCAATTTCTGGACAAGACCAAGGCAATTTGACCAACATTTAGGGGACATCAACTCAGAGTGACAAAGGGGCATTTGCCCTCAAAGAGCTTGCAGCCTAGGGACATAGACACAAGCGATTGCACACTGGCAGCTCGTGTTGTGTGCTATTATTACTGTTGCATGTGAAATGCTGCCTGTGAAGAGACTCATTGTTACTGGGCATGAGGTATCAGGGAAGAAGTGGTGCTCACATGAGACTTAAGGAATGAGTACAATGTCCTCGGGAGGACCAGAGGAAGGAAACCCAGGTGAAAGGAACAGGAGAAATAAGGGCACAAGGGCACGTGTGGGTGTGAGGTGTTGGAGTGCCGTAGAATCTGATGAGGAGGGTGGGGTCCATGGGGTAACAGGTGGGAAGACAGGTCACTCTGTTTAAGGTGAACTTCAACCCTGGTTTTTTGTGCTCAGAACAATACCCTTTTCAGGAGCAGATAGAAAAAGCCTGCATCTTCTCCAGTGGCTCTTATCTTAGTAAAATACAAGCCCAGGCTCTTTGGACCCGAATTAGTCAAAGACTATGGCTATTTTCTAAATACTTGTTAGCACACCAAAGGCACATAAACTCAGAGTTTGTCTGCATGGCAAACCTGTCTTCACTGGGCTCAGTTTTTATTATATTTTTGAAACAAGTCTCATTCTGTCACCCAGGCTAGAGTGCAGTGGCATGATACCAGCTCACTGCAGCCTCCACCTCCTAGGCTCAAGCCATCCTTCCACCTCGGCCTCCCAAATAGCTGGAACTACAGGTGCACATCACCACGCCTGGCTAATTTTTTAATTTTTTTTTTTTGTAGAGATGGGGTCTCACTCTATTGCTCAGGCTGGTCTTAAATTCCTGGGCTCAAGTGATTTGCCCATCTTGGCCTCCCAAAATGCTGGGATTACAGGAGTGAGCCACCATGCCCGGCCTGCTCAGCTTTTAAACTCAACACTCTGCCTACTCTTTTCAAAACTAAAAAGTACCATTACCTTCACTGTAGCATCTCGCTTGAAACGTATCAGAGAGAATCTAAATACTCTCATTTTCTGAATGTCCTCCTCTAAAAACAGCAAAAACCCCTGTCACCAAAAACCACTGGGGGTGGAATTTGAGGCCTCCCCAACGACCCACAAAAAAAGAGGGAGAAATGAAAGGAAGACGAAAAATTGATCATTTGTTTTTCTCTAACAAAGAGTAAAATGACAAGGAAAATCAAGCTGAACTCTCCCTGGAGACGGAAGAAATCACACCAACGCGGGCATCTGTCTTCTGTCCATGGTGCTGAAATTTATTCACTTCCAAACTACTTTCAGTAATAGGTGAGGTTCTACCTTAAAATTTAATGCATGGTGTGGGAGAGGCGAGGAAGCCACAATCAAACCACTTCATCTACAGTTAGCATAAAATATGAGAACTGTTGACAGGAAGCTGCAGCTTGGATGGGATGATCACAACTCCAGGGCAATGAGATGACACGAAGTTGCAGGAGAGACCCCAGGGGACAAGAGTCTCTTGCCGTCTGCCCCAGGGCCCAGCCCTCCTTGTCCTCCCTGGCTGTTATCTTCGGTACTACAAAGAGAACACAGACATATCTGACCTGGTGACCTGGCTGTACTGGAAAAGTCAGCTTCATGTATGAGTGTGCCCACCCTCTGAGCTTGATTACTGACCACCTTCCCACCAGCCCCCATTTCAGCCTGATGACTCTCTGAGCTTCATGAATTGATAAGCAAGTTACTCAGCAGAGTAAATGTCACTTAAGCCCTTCGGGATCTTGCAGTTCTGGAGAGGAACATGAACTGCTAATCAGCCACGCAAAGATAACTTGGACCTATGAATATTTTAATTTCCCAGCGCTAGTGGCAGTCACTTTATTTTTTTTTTTTTAGCATTTTCTCGGCAGACTGTAGCTGAGGATGATAGATGGTGTGTCCTGACACCTATGGGGCACTCACGGTGTTGGGGCAGAAAGTTCAGAGGGAATAATTCCTGCTAAAGGTGTCTCCCAATAGTGTTCATCCCATCCCATTTCCATCCCCAGTTCCTCTTACCCGGAAGCTGTTACAACCCAGTCCGCTCTGGGCTCCAATTCTGTCCATCCTGCCCCCAAAGCAGCTGGATCTCCGCAGGCTCCGCGGGGCAGCAAGCAAAGCCCTCAGCTTGCTTTTTAGGAGCGCAGATCGATCGGAGGAGTCCCAGGGGACCCGCCCAAGGGCACCCCCATCTCTCTGGGCTGGGCTGACATCCCCAGTCCAGGGAGGTACCTCAGGGAGGGGGCTGAGGGCAGCCCCCGCTTCTTCGTTCTGCTCACTGAGCACTTGTGGGGGCACGACCTCATCTTCTAAAGGCATCTTTTCTTCCAAATGGTCCAGCAAATTCTTTACACAAGGAAAATACAAGGAAAGGGACAAGCCTCATTGACTTGGAGACAAGATGAATGAGAACAGCACCAAAAGCCCCCTAGCCCCAGACTGCACCCACTTTCCTGGCCCTACCTTGAAATCCATCAGGTCTGCATTGGACACGGCATTGTACATGGGGTTAGCTCTGGTCTGACCTGGAAGCTGGAATGCCAGAAAGAGGAGGAAGCTCACGGTGACAGTGGAGAAGGAGCCCATGCTGGTGTAGTCAAGGAGCGATCCACTGCTTGCTGCTGTCTCTCCCCTCTGGTTCCTCTCTGTTTCCCCTCTCTTGGCCTACGTCCGTCCCTGTCTCCGAACTGCCCAGCGCCTCCTCTTTTTATAGTCCTCCCCACTCTTCAAGCACGCAGGAGAGACAGAACCCTCCCCATTCTGTCACTTGCAGCGATAAAGCAGCTGAGTGAGAAGCCAGCAGGAGATGCCCTTTTAAAGTTATCATCCCACAGGGCTTGTCACAGCCCCTCTGCCTTGGGCAGCCCCAACAGCCCCCCAGACCCTCCGCTGCAAGAGCCGAATTCTTGCTGATTTGACTCAAGAGGCTCCCACTTCAAAGGTGTGGGAAGAGCAAAAAAGAGTCCTTGGTTATCTCACCGCCATGCCTCAGGATTCTTTCTCTTCGACACTGGTACCCATGCAGGGAAACAGAGGGTGACATTTGGCTGGTGCCCAGCTCCCCCAGGCTTGTCTGTGGCTCAGCTGTCAGGGCCTCCAAATAAGGGCGGAGAGGAGAAAATGGCAAGCAGCTAGCAGCCCGAGACAAATGGGTCCAGATGCTCAAGCTGGCCTCACACCTGCCTCATCTGCCACGTGGCCTAAAACAAGGCTGCCCTCATCCCTGGCTGTCCGTTCCTCTACATGGTCAGGTGAAAGGGAGTTATTTGTTAGAATATGAAGTCAGCCAAGAAGCAAATGTGATGAAGCTCCCAAGAATTCAACCCCCAAACAGAAATATCAAGAAAAGCCGGGGGGGTACAAGCATCCTCTCTCTAAAGCTCCTCCTCCTCCACGTCCCCTGTGACCCTCCTCCAACATGCTGAGGGGATAGGCTTTGAGAACGCAGCCAATTTCATTTCATCTCTTGCAGTTTATAGATACTCAGACTTGTAATGGCCCCCTGCGCTTCCTGGACTTGTGCCCATTGCCACTTGGTCAATGAAGGGAGAGAGGTGGGAATGAAGGAGGTATAGCCAGTTTACCTCAATGCCCTCCACCTCATTCCCTGAGGCTAGGCAAGTGACTGAGCCACCAAGGTCACAATCTCCCTGACCCCTAAAAGAGAAATAACAGGCAGCGAGTCTGTCTATGGTGTTTGTTTTTTGTTTTTAGGTTGTTTTTTTTTTTTTTTTTTTGAGACACAGTCTCACTGTCACCAGGCTGGAGTGCAGTGGCATGATCTCGGCTCATTGCAACCTCTGCCTCTCAGGTTCAAGCGATTCTCCTGCCTCAGCCTTCTGAGTAGCTGGGACTACAGGCACGTACCACCATGCCCAGCTAATTTTTGTATTTTTAGTAGAGATGGGGTTTCACCATGATGGCCAGGGCAGTCTCAATCTCTTGACCTCATGATCCACCAGCCTCAGCCTCCCAAAGTGCTGGGATTACAGGAGTGAACCACCGTGCTGGGCCAAGTCCGTCTATGTCTAATGAATGCCCTGTTTGCTAAGCACTGAACTCAGTGTTAGCCCTTATCATTCAATACAACGTATACTGGGGGAAAACACTAAATTTGAAGGGTCAAGAGACCTGCACTGTAGCCCAAAACAAACCAGTTGCATACATCTTCATGGCCTTATTTTCCTTGTGTGTAACATGAGAAAGAATGTAAAAACCGGCTGGGCACAGTGGCTCATGCCTATAATCCAAGCACTTTGGGAGGCCAAGATGGGTGGATCACCTGAGGCCAGGAGTTCGAGACCAGCCTGGCCAACATGACAAAACTCTGTCTCTACTAAAAATATAAAAATCCGTTGGACGTTGTGGCACGTGCCTGTAATCCCAACTACTAAGGAGGCTGAGGTACAAGAATGGCTTGACTGTGGGAAGCAGAGGTTGTAGCGAACCAAGATGGCGCCACTGCACTCCAGCCTGGGCAACAGAGTGAGACTTGGTCTCAAAAAATATAAATAAATAAAGTAGAAACCTTCCCTGCCTACCTTGCAGGGTTGTTGGGGAGCCCAGGTGAGCTGAGAACGTGTGAACACGCATCAAGTGTGCAGTGCTGAGTCCCTGCAAGATGGCCATGATAGTTGTCGTTATTGATTGCTTATAACATGCCCGGCACACAGCTGAGAGCTTTATGGAAATGATTTTATTTTGATCACCATCCCCAGGCAGTAGATATCATTGTCCTTACTTACAAAGACACAGAACTGAGCCTGAGAGGCTATGCCACTTGGCCAAGGCCACTAAGTGCCTAAGTGGCAGAACCAGGACTAACTCCAGGTCTGACATTGATGTCCGTATCTTAGTCTATTTCACATAGAGTACAGCCTCCTCACCTCTTAGCTGCATTCCCCAATTAAACCCTCATTCCCTATCTTTCAGGTGCTCCAAGGGAGGTCCTTCACCTTCCCTGTGTCCCTGGGATTATAGCTTTTTGTGTGCTTACCAAGTCTGTGTGTGTTCGGCTGCTCTTCTGATCTATTTCTACAGCGAATGTGTTTTAATCCACTCTTTGGAAGCTCAGAAAATGTGTGTTGAGTGACCAGCTCTGTCCTGGCCAGATCTGTCCCGAGCTGTGCTGACCTCATGATTGACTAGGTGGTCAGGGTGTCGTGCAGCCATAAAGTTGGAAATCAGGGCAGCAAGTGGCCGGAGGTCACAAGAGGCATCCAGGGTAATATTATTCTAAGACAAGACAAAAGGGGCCCTCTTTGGCTAGCCTTGGGGGATGTGTGTTCAGGGGGATCTAATATTTCACGGCATGGTTAGAAGCAGCCTGTAGGAGTGAGAGAGAAGAAAAGTAACAGACACAGATTTGGCGATTGATTTGGGTCAGCCAAGCTCAAATTGAAATCTGATATGGGTGCAATTCTTTTTTTTTTTTTTTTTAAATAAAGATAGGGTCTTGCTATGTTGCCCAGGCTGGTTTCGAACTCTTGGGCTCAAGTAATCCTCCTGCCTTTGCCTTTCAAAGTGCTGGGATTATAGGAGGGAGCCACTGCACCGAGCCTGAAATGGGTGCAATTCTAAGTAGGAGCTTGCGGGGCAAAAACCTCTCATATCCTGATGAGTCCCTGGAATGTGCTCACAGCTTAATTGCTCGGTTGGCAGGGTTATTATTAGCAAAGAGGATCCAGCGGCACCCTCAGTGGGGGAAACGCATGCTGGTGCTGCGTGCGTCATGCTGCCTGTCTCCTGGAGATGCCCTTTGAGATAGGCCTTTGATATGAGCAGGGACTTCCGTGGCGATGCTGCTCCTCTGTCCTGAGCCACTGCTAAAGTCTGCAGGTAGCCCAAGGAGAAGCGGAAGTCCCATCCAGGGTTCTAGAAAGAGAATTCCAGAATTTTCCCACCTCCTTTTATTAAAATCACTTGTCCTTTTGCAGAGCGAACCTGGAGTGGGACGTGAGTGTCGTCTGTTGAGTCTCTATTAGCCAGGCTTTTTTGCAGGGTGCAGGGAGGAAATGGATATTCAGTTGTGCTGCCCTGAGGGCTTTGAATAGAGCCATCATCTCCTGCACTATCAGAGCCCCGCAAAAACACAAACATCCTCAATGGCACTTGTTACCCCAGATCTTATTAAAGCGCAAACCAGAAAGCGGCTTGATGTAAAATTTCTCTTCATTTCCATGCTCCCGCTCAGCCTGGGGGGATGAGTGTCGGGGGGATCTAGTATTTAATAAGGTGGTTAGAAGCAGCTTGTGGGAGTGAGAGAGAAGAAAAGTAACAGGCACAGAAAGCCAGGCCCACCCCCATCCCCACCTCTCCCACTGACTGAAAACTCAAAAGCCCTTTATTTCCTTATCACTGGAAAGACGTCATCTTAGTCATATGATGGGTGGAGCACTGCAAATCAACGGGAGAATTCAGAATCTGGGTGTTACCAGCTTCTGGCCCAGAGTTTGGCTTCATGATTCTCCAGGGGGATGCCGTGGGCTGCTGCAGGGAGCCCCACAGTGTGCAGTGTCACCGGTGTGCAGAGCTGACACGACAACCCCAATGCATTCATGGCATAATCCTCTGAGACCCAGATGGTCCAAAGCAGAAGCCCCAGTTGGGAGAAATTGGTGCATACTTAGGGATGATCACTGCTGACTTTGAAAATGATATTTTGGGGGCCGGGCGCGGTGGCTCAAGCCTGTAATCCCAGCACTTTGGGAGGCCGAGGCGGGTGGATCACGAGGTCAAGAGATCGAGACCATCCTGGTCAACATGGTGAAAACCCGTCTCCACTAAAAATACAAAAAATCAGCTGGGCATGGTGGTGCGTGCCTGTAGTCCCAGCTACTCAGGAGGCTGAGGCAGGAGAATTGCCTGAACCCAGGAGGCGGAGGTTGCGGTGAGCCGAGATCGCGCCATTGCACTCCAACCTGGGTAACATGAGTGAAACTCCGTCTCAAAAAAAAAAAAAAAAAGAAAATGATATTTTGTTTCTTTGGTATAATATGGAGATCACTAGGGGCTGAATCTTGGGGACAGTTTCCCCAGAAAACAAAGCCCAAGGCAAAAGTTCACTTGCTGAAGTTTTGTGGGGGTTCCTATTCAAAGGAAGCAAGAGTGAAGGGGAAAAGAGTGAGAATGTTTTAGTAAACTACTGCTGAGTGACAAGTCACCCCAGACTCAGCACTATGGCTCAGGCCTATCATTCCAACACTTTGGGAGGCCGAAGTGTTTGGGATGCTCCCGAAGCGGGAGCATCACTTGAGCCCAGGAGTTCAAGACTACCCTGAGCAACTTGGCAAAACCCTATGTCTCCTAAAAATACAAAAAATTAGCTGGGTGTGGTGGTGCATGCCTATTGCCCCAGCTACCCTGGACGCTGAGCGGGGAGGATCACCCAAGCCCAAGAGGCTGAGGCTGCAGTGAGCCATGACCAAGCCACTGCACTCTAGCCCGGGTGACAGAATGAAAACCTGTCTCAAAAAAACAAAAGCCGCGCATGGTGGCTCACACCTGTAACACTAGCACTTTGGGAGGCTGAGCAGGAAAATCTCTTGAGTCCAGGAGTTCAAAAAACAAAACAAAAACCAAGTCACCCCAAACCTTAGCAACTTCACACAACGCGCGTCTATTCCCTCATCGTCTCTGTGCTCTGTGGATCAGGGATCTGGCCCTACTTGGCCTGGGACCGCTGGGCAGTTAAGGCATTGGCTGGGGCTGCAGCTGTCTCAAGGCTTGGCTGGGGGAGGATGTGCTTTCAAGCTCACTCCTGCAGCTGTTGGCAGACGCCGCAAGTCCTCACTGGCTGGTGGCTGATGCCAACATCAGTTTCTTGCCACATGGATCTCTCCATGGAGAAGCAACTGCCTTCTATTAGGTCCATAGAGAAAGAGAGAGAAGTTATGAAGAAGCCACAGTATCTTTGTAACCTAATCTTAGAAGTGACATCCCATTCTTCATGTCGTGCTGCTCTGTGTCCCTTAGAAGTGA